CAGAAATGTCAACTATATTATCCTAACTTTAGTCTGAGGTATTATTTATTACTAAACGTTAAAATCTAGTGTTTTCACCCAATCATTTCTCAGAGAGGTAGGAGCTAGTGAGTCAAGGGGGGGAATTGAGTCCATTATTTGAATGGACATAAACCTGGCGACTGTATTTCTCTTAAATATTAATTGTGAGCATACCATCATAAAATTTAGATGTTATTTTTACTACAACATAGGTATTGTGTCGGAAAAAGTGGAGTTTGGGGGTCCGGCCAGTCTCTATTGGAATTAATCCCATATGTTCTGTTGTTCTCTTTACGCGGTTTTCACTTTCCGCAGTACCCTGTGGGTTCAATTGACCGCGTAAATCAGGGTACCACTGTACTGTAATAATAATTCATAGGTCTAGGTCGCATTTCTCACTTTTGATCTATTTTTCATTCTTGTATTTCTTTATTATTATTATTATTATTTTATTACAGTATTACTATTATTATTAATTTTATTATTATATTTTATTATTACTATTTTATTATTATTGCTATCATTATTATTTTATTTTGGTGTACAGTATTTTAATTAAAAATCTTATTTACTATGACTTATTATTATTACTCTGCATTATAATTATTATTACTATTACATTTTCGCCCACCAGGCCCCGATGTGTCAGTGATTTATGCCCGGGTGGGCTAATCCTGTTAAAAAAAAAAAAAAAAGCCCCACAAAAAAAACTCGGTTTTTAGAGCTTTTCGGTTTTCGGAATTTCGGATAAAGGGTTGTCAACCTGTATCTTACAAGAATCCCAGCAGTTTAAATTATATTCTCCCTGGTCATTTCACTGGCATTTTATAAGAGAGAAGCTTAGTCACTTAAGGACTAATAAATAAACACACATGAGACCTTCAGCACCAACTGTCAAACATATCACCTCACCTCCTGCTCGCTCCCTCCCTCCCTCTTCCCATTGCCCAGCCATGGATGGGTGGTTTTAGGCTTACAGTTTTTATCTTATATAATATCATAGACTAATGTTAGAATATAATTTGTATTGCTGGAATCCTTGCAAGACAGCGAATAATTTGAATATAAACATCATATATTTTCCACAAAAGATAATAATTAATCACCTGTATCACATTACAGTAGTAATTTATGAGTAAGAGTAAATATATATATATATATATATATATATATATATATATATATATATATATATATATATATATATATATATATATATATATATATATATATATATATATATATATATATATATATATATACAGTTTTACCCCGCTTAACGCGCTTTCACTTAACGCGTTTTCGCATATACGCGGTGCCTTGCCAAAGCTGAACTTTCACTTAACGCGGTTTTTTCCACATATACGCGGTGAGTGTCCGAGACGCTATTTTTAGATTTGCCCCACCCGCCACCCTGCCTGACTGCCTGTTTTAGCTCATAAAATTCATACAAATTACCAGGCCAGAATATAATTTACATTGCTGGAATTCTTATAATTTGGTGATCATTTTGAATATAAACATCATATATTTTGCTTTAAACTTACAATTTTTAGATAAAAATTTTTCTCTAGGTAACTATGGTATCTTTTGTGCAAATTATATGACATTTATATTCAAAATATTCCTGGTCTTACAAGGAATCCAGCAATGTCAATTATATTATCCTAACTTTAATCTGAGGTATTATTTATTACTAAATGTTAAAAACTCTGGAAGGGAGGATTGGTGGGGGGTGGGGGGGAGGGTTGGGACTGACCGCGCGGTTGGAAGAGGGGGGGAGGCAAGGTGGGGTACTTTGATTGACAGATAGTGTCGTGAAGATTATTTTTTTTTTATTAACTGAAGATATTTGTTTTAGCTCATAAAATTCATACAAATTATCCGGTCAGAATATAATTTACATTGCTGGAATTCTTATAATTTGGTGATCATTTTGAATATAAACATCATATATTTTGCTTTAAACTTACAATTTTTAGATAAAAATTTTTCTCTAGGTAACTATGTTATCTTTTGTGCAAAATATATGACATTTATATTCAAAATATTCCTGGTCTTACAAGGAATCCAGCAATGTCAATTATATTTTCCTAACTTTAGTTTGAGGTTATCCCACACATCTCCTTGGGACGGTTGGTGGGGGGTGGGGGGGGGGAGGGAGGGACCGACCGACCATCTGTTAGCCGGCTGTGTAGTGTGAGAGGGGAAGGGAGTTGAGTCCATTATTTGAATGGACATTAACTTGGCGACTGTATTTCTCTATTTCTCTTAAGTATTAATTGTGTGCATGTACCATCATAAAATTAAGATGTTATTTTTACTACAACATAGGTATGTGCCTTCAAAAAGTGGAGTTTGGGGGTCGGGCCGGTTTCTATTGGAATTAATCCCATATGTTCTGTTGTTCACTTAACGCGGATTTCACTTAACGCGGGACCCTCTGGGTTCAATTGACCGCGTTAAGTGGGGTACAACTGTATATATATACACACAAAGTTGTACCCTGCTTAACGCGGATTCACTTAACGCGATTTCTCATATACGCGGTGCCTCGCCAGAACCGAACTTTCACTTAACGCGGTTCATCTACTCATATACGCGGGAAGCGGCGCGGGCACGATGCGCACAAGGTCGCCCAGTCATCAAAACATTACCGAGTTCTTCACCCGCCACCCACCACAGCCGGCCCAAGTCAGTGATAGTGATAATTATAGTGAGGATATGGACTTATATGGACTTTGAGGGGTTTGACAAAGAGGCCCTGAAAGCCTCTGTGAGATCGCGTATGTAAGTGTGCATGCGCACACGTGAAAACATATCGTCATTACTTTACATAAGAATATGAAAGCAACACTTATTTACTGTTCATATATATTTTAATTAATGTTTCTGAATTTGTTTTTATTGAATTAATGTTTGTGTGTGCAAAATTAACAATACAATTTATTAATAATACGTGGAATATTAGAGGAGACGAGACGGCTGCCGGCATTGTTTATGTTAAAGCTTACAAAACCAGTGACTGATTGGTTCTACATATAAAACTGAAGAAAATAAGACCCTGATTTTAGCTGTAGTAAAATTAATGTAAAAAAATTAATATGGTTGTTTGAAGTACCTGTAATGTTATTTAATGTTAATAAATGGAACAATATAAGTAGCTAACCATTAATGGTAAAAAAAAGTGAGACTGCGCGTATGTAAGTGCGCACATGTGAAAACATATCGTCATTACTCTACATAAGAATATGAAAGCAACACTTATTTACTGCTCATATATATTGAAGGGTTAAATGTTGTACTCTGTATAGACAAGCAGAGAGAGAGAGAGAGAGAGCAGCCGAACTGCCGGATGTAAACAAACCTTAATTTCCCGCGGCTTTGTTTTTTTTTTTTTTAAGGGGATTAGCCCACCCGGGCATAGGTCACTGACCCACATTGGGGCCTGAGGGGCAAAAATTTAATACTCCTGTAATAATAATAATAATTCAGATAAGTAAAAAAAAAAAGAAAAAAAAGCTGCCTATCTACCTATTGGACAAACTAAAATCGTTCCGGACCACAGGAGTTTCCGGACCACAGAATGCCGGACTAGAGAGGTACAACCTGTACAAATTTTAGATGTAATTTAAGATGATGATGAAAATGAGCAAAAATTTTATCTTTTGCGCAAAATATATGACGTTTACATTCAAAATATTCCCTGTCCTGCAAGGAATCCAGCAATGTCAATTATATTGTCCTAACTTTAGTCTAAGGTATTATTTATTACTAAAAATGTAAATATACTGTTTTCACCCAAACATTTCTCTGGTATGGAGGGAGGGTGGGGGGTAGGGAGGGAGGGAGGGATCCAGCGAGTGTGGGAAGGGGGGGGGGAGTGTTGAGTCCATTATTTGAATGGACATTAGCCAGCGACTGTATTTCTCTTAAATATTAATTGTGTGAACATACCATCATAAAATTAAGATGTCATTTTTACTACAACGTACGTATTGTGTCTGAAAAGTGTAGTTTGGGGGTCGGCCCAGTCTCTATTTCAATTAATCCCATATGTTCTGCTATTTCGTTTACGCATTTCTCGTTTTATGCGGACCGCCACGGGTTCAATTGACCGCGTAATGGAGACTATACTGTACTTTTCTGTGAGCTGGAACCAATTACCCATTGAATTACGGATTCGGTTAACGAACGATTTTGTGGAACGAATTGTATTCGTTAACCAAGGGACCACTGTATATCACAAAAACTGTTTTTTAGAAAAAAAATGGCTTTTTCTTTTTTCCTGAGCATATTTGTGAAGCCTTTTCACACCTGCCATGAGGTGGGTGTAGGCATCTCAACCATTAGAATAGGCTGGACCATGGCTGAGTCAAGATATACACTTCCACCCATATGTCCCACTCCCCTACACAGAACAAAATTGACCTTATTATACAGTATTTGATTTGGGAGACAAAGGTCCCATGCAGAGTGACAGTGACATAAGTAAAGACAATGACTTTCCTCAAGTTATGACTTGTGGTGTTAGTGAATCGTTAGGGAATTTGAGTGACAAGGATGAGGAATATGCTGGTGGTACTAGGGTAACTTCAACAATGCATGCGTCCATCCATGAGGCTCCCACATGGGACTGGAGTGATTATTTACTGCCCACAATCCCTGAACTTTGATGGCATAAATAAGGATTTTATTAGCTCTATGAATGTAAGATTAAAACGATTGTATATTTTTTTTAATTTCAATATTCACCCATCCTGCAAGTAATAACCACAAGTTGTCATTACCATCCACAAAGGGTTAACATGATGATTATTAACAATAAATTAATCAATCTTGTCATGAAAATAGTCAACAACTTCTTAATGGAACATACTTTTCTTCATTACAAATCATGTTCTCCATTGCATATTATCTGCAAAGTATGAAACAAAATAAAATAGTTATAACTGAATTCAACATTTACAAGCACTCACCTGGAGCGCGCAGGGCGAGCAAAGACAGAAAACCACAGGTGACCATCATATAAGTTTTTGTGAGATCTTGTATCAAAAAGGTGTTTAAATTCTGTCTTCTGGGCCTCTCCAGCCACAGCAATAAGTCTATCAATCTGTTGGGGGTGATGGTAATATGATATATTGTACTCTATATTGGGTAAACATTTTTACAGTAATGAGAAGAGAACAAAGTAACAAGTGTGAAAAACAGAGTACAAGGCCAGGTGAATGTGAGAGAGTAAAGTACTGTATAGGTAGAAAAATTAAATAGGCACTATCATATGTAGAGGTTATGTGCCTCCCCTCGCCTTCCTAAGAATTTAATGATAATAGAGCATTTAAGGAGTTCTATTTACACAGGCTGATTTCAATTATTTGTACTACAGAATAATGAGAGAAAAGTACTTTATACGCCCACCTCTCGTTTTACGCGGGGGTTACGTTCTTGAAAACCACCGCTAAATTAAAAAATGAGTAAATTAAACATAATTTTCCCATAAGAATACATGTAAATGGTACAGATTAGGGGAACCATCATATACCACACAGGGTATGAACAGTGCTCTCACTTAAACCAAGCATGCAGCCAACCTCCGACACACGCTCTCCTCTCTGAAGGCGGGTGATCACATTTAATTTCACGTCCATTGTGATTGTTTTTCGTGCCTATTTAGAAAACAACTTTACTGGTTTGGCTGGACAAGGGGGAAATGCCAATCAACGTGCCTTTTATGTGAGAGAGAAATTTAATCAATTCTTTAACAGCCCATCTGGCTCTATACCTTGGCAGTAGACTGCTTGAGTAAGTGTTTATTCAAGATTAGTTAAATCAAACAATGCAGTGTTACATAACAATAAAGAATAACCTCTTAACTGGTTTGTTTAGTTCATCTCCTATGATTTTCACAGTCTGTCCTAATAAACATTATCGCTATATTTTTTGTTGGACATATCATATAGTTCTTCATATCTGCGAACCAGTTCAATTAGCTGCTCGTTCATGATGTGAAATAAAAGTGAATAAATCAACTAGGCCTATATCAAGCTGTAGACCCTTCCGCCTGCTCTCTAGCTCAAACGGACTGTTACTGACTGCGTGTCTGTTCACACCATCCATAACGTATTGGAAACGGTTCGGTACGGAAACGTTTCATCAAGTCAAAATATTCTCTTGGAGATACCGAGATGTGACGGAACGGAACCAAATTAATACGTGATGGTGACGTGCCGGTTAGGTGTGAACAGCTCCATTTGATTACATGTAAGAAATTTTGATGGACCGTTGCCTTTATTAGCTGTGGTTGCAGTTGCAAAGCTTCATGGCATCACTAATGTATAATGTGTCTCCACATGCCCCGGTTTATTCACTGATCAGTTATCTAAGTGCAAAAGTAGCCAAATCGAGCCATCATGTATCAATTAATTATAAAATAGAAATTATAAAGTAAAAATGTTATAAAATAATGGTTTAGTAGTGCTGTTAATGTGTGTGCTGTGTAAGTGTTTGGCATGTCACCTCACTCTGTAGGTCTGAGTGTATTAATGGAATTAATCTCAATTTAGTGAACCAGTTCACTAAATTGAGCGAAAAAACTTTCCGCTAATTCAAGAGTTCATTATATTGGATTTTGTAACTTATGTTTTCTTTATGTAACCATGTCATAATTTCTTACCTGGAAGTCATCATGTTCAACAGCAAACCAACAGTTAGCAATAAATTCAAACTTCTGACCGGTCTGGACATCTCTGAAGACGATGTAGCGAAGGTACCAAGAAGCTTCACTATCCTAATGAAAAGAAGCACATAAAATTAATAAATATTTTGTTCCGCTCAAAGCATAATGAAAGAGTAAATTTTGTCAAACATTTCTTTAGTAACTATCTTTACACAGTCAATGACAAAAAAAAAGAAAAAAAAAAGGAAGATTGACCATGATTCAGCTTTACACCCAAGTGGGTTTGAGTAACTCCAAGTCCAGCAAATGTACAGGGTCAAGAGGAATAGTTACTTGGATTGAAGACACCCTGTAATGACCACAGTCGTACATGTTAGTTAACGTGAAATCAAACGATTCATATGACGCTCAATAGCCCACAAAACATGTAGCTGTGACCTTTTTATTAAGTCCCCCAGCTGAGGCGTCCAGTTTCTTATTGCTTCAGGACGTCTGAACCTACGTTTTCTCTCAATTTCATATATCTCCAAGACTATGTTATTTCTTCAGAGCTCATACCATGTTTGTAGAATTGAAATTGAGTAAGAACCCAATAATATTATATTGTGTTAGATATGTCTGATTACAGATGAAACATTCAAGATCCCTTGTGAGTGATGTTGAAAGCTTCAACTGTATGTATTGTAAGTAAAACTTGTCAAATAAGTGAGTGTTGAGTCTGCCAGTAAGAATGACGAAGTACTGCACTAATCTTGCCCTTGGGTATAGCCATGAGTTTCCAAATACTACTGAAGTTAGATTATTTTAATGCCCAAACCTCAGAGAATCTGATATTTGTAGTTTGATTATTGTCAGTTGTCTATTTAAGAAAGCAATTAATTTCCTGAATAAATCTGTCAAACTCTATATCTCCAAGATCTAAACGTATACCCATAGAGGGCCCTTGTGTGTAATTTTGCTGAGCCTGTAAAAATAGTGTTGTAAGCGTGTGTATATAACGTTCATTTAACTTTTTCTTGGCAAGCTCACCTCTGATTAGATTATAAAAATAGACATAAGAAAATTCACAGGACCCATGACATTGATTTTCATAGCAAAATGTACAACAGCTGATTTAAATGTAATTTCTGTCATTGCATAATTAGCCTTATTGGCATGTCTGGTGCATGGCTGAGTTGCCAGATGCCCATATATAAATGAATGCACAAGGAAGACTCACACGCTTGTGACTCTTCCTCATCGCATATCCAGGTATGTGAACGTTTGTTTCCCGCCGCCATGTTAAGTCAGTTTAACTAAGTGAATTTTGTGAATATCAGTGTTCATGTTTTAACATAGAGAAATGATCATGTGCCAAGTATAATTAAAGTAACGTAAGTATCGTCTGTATCATTGCCAGACGTATGTTATGTGTAGTTGAAGTTAGACCTTTTAACACACTCGTGACTCTTCCTCAACACATCTCCAGGCACTGTCTGTGTTGTCACCACTACCGAGGTGTGGTAGCCGCCTACGGGCAAGATGTTCATTGAAGGATGTCTTTAGTATGGCGAGATTAAAATCTAAGGACAGGAGCACCCAGGGAACACCGTATAAAGACACACTGCATCGAGTCTACCCCAGGCGCTACTGGCCAACGAGCTTCTGCTGTTTGTTGTAGTAAACAGCTCCCGCACCCAGTGTAACCGAGTCTTGCCAGGTGCACTAATCTGGGTTATATGTGCCAAGAACTATTGTTATACATGATTGGGGATAATTAGCAGAAATATAGTTATCTCATGTTGAGTATTGTAACCATAAATATTGATGATACCAGTGGTAGCGCTCGTTATGTGGGTTGTGAGTAGATCATTCATATGTACAGTACTTGTTACATCATTAAACAAATAATATATTATTTGTTTGACAAATAAAATGGTTAATTTACACACTTGTCAACAACACATATTAACCCATCACTTATAACCTCATGTTATTTTGGAATGAAAAACATGGAACATTTACTAGAACTCAGTTGGTAGTACAGCTCCTCCCTGACTTACGACCTACTCGACCTACGTCCACCCGCACTTACGCTCTGCTCTGTCCGTACGACCATCCGCACATACGACCGCTCGGTCGGGATCAAATTTTTTTTCAAATGACGAGCGCATTTTCTATACCAAAACGTTTCCATCCCATACGAGAGCGTGGCTTGGGTCACCGCATGGGTACAGCTCCCACGCAGTAGAGCGTTTAGTTGGTGTTTGGCTGTCGTATCCTATACTGATCTCGCAGTGTACTGACATTATTTTCGTATTTAATTGACTTTATAATGACTGGTAAGCATAGAAGTGAGAGTGCTGTTGGTGCTCAGAAGAAAAGGAGACAGTCAATGACTTTTGAGACGAAAATGAAGATAATAATGCAGTATGAAAACATAAAAACTGTAGCAACAATTTCACGTGACCTAGGGTTTTCGCACTCGACGATATCCACTATTATGAAGGACAAGGAACGTATTCGTGATGTAGTGAAAGGAACAACACCTATAAAGGGAACTATAATTACGAAGAAAAGACAAGGTCCCATTCACGATATGGAAAAATTATTGGTGATATGGATGGAAGACCAAATACAGAAGCATGTACCCTTAAGCCTTACAGGCTAAAGCAAGAAGCCTGTTCGTAAGCCTGAAGGAGCAGGCAGGAGATGAGTGCGACCAAACCTTCAGAGCAAGTCATGGGTGGTTCCAAAGGTTTAAGAACCACTACAGTTTACATAATGTCAAGGTGAGTGGAGAGGCAGCTAGTGCTGATGTTGGTGCTGCCGAAGCTTTTAAGGAGGAGCTAGATCATGTCATCATGGAGGGAAATTATTTACCTGAGCAAATATTCAATGTCGATGAAACTTGAATATTATGGAAGCGCATGCCTGAACGGACATATATCCACAAAGAGGCGAAAACAATGCCGGGATTCAAGGACAGAATTACACTTCTGTTGGGGGGGGAATGTTGCTGGTTTCAAGATAAAGCCTTTCGTGATCTATCATTCAGAGAACCCCAGGGCTTTTAAACATGTCAGCAAACACACACTGCCAGTGTTTTATTGCAGAAACAAGAAAGCCTGGATGACTTCAGCACTGTTTGAGGATTGGTTCATGAATTGTTTCATTCCTCGAGCCAAGGAGTATTGTCTTCAACAAGGGATTGCATTCAAGATTTTGCTGATTTTAGATAATGCTCCGGGACACCCACCACACCTGGACGACATGCACTCTGATATTAAGGTAGTCTACCTTCCACCAAACACTACCTCTGTCATCCAACCCATGAATCAAGGTGCTATTGCTGCTTTTAAAGCAAATTAATTACGTACGACCTTCGCTCAGGCTGTTGCTGCTACTGAAGGTGAGAAAACGCTCAGAGAGTTTTGGAAGGACTACAACATTTTGACATGTATAAAGAACATTATTGCAGCATGGGATCAGGTTACACAACAGTGCATGAATGGAATATGGAAGAAAACACTGAAAAGATATGTGAACAGTTTTAGAGGATTTAATGAAAATGAAGCAATTCCTGAGACTAGTAACAAGTTAGTGGAGTTAGGTAAACAGCTTCAGTTAGAAATTGATAATGAAGATGTTGAACAGTTGGTTGAAAGTGTAGCAGAAGAGCTCAGTAACAAGGACCTTATTGAACTGGAAGCACACAAAAATGCAGAGGAAGAAGAGAGTTGAAATGTAGAAAAAGGACCTGCACCCCCCAAACATTTTTCAGTGAAGCAAATGTCAGAGGCATTTGCTACAATTAATAAGGGGATGCACATGTTTGACGGAATGGATCAAAATTATGAGCGTTTTGCCAAAGTTGACAGAATGGCCCAAGATGCACTTGCTTGCTACAGGGAAATTTATAATGAAAAGAAAAAACAAACTTTGCAGTCTAAATTGAACATCTATTTTAAGAAGTCCCGCATTGCTGTCTCCTCACGCCCCACCAGTGCTGCCTCTTCACTCCCTCAAGATGATCCAATACCTTCAACCAGCAAGTTTCCCCTGTACATAAACCTGTCTGAAGAAAGCAACATTGATGACCTGCCCAGCCCTGTCTCCTCCTCTGCTTCATCCATTTAATATAGTCTCCATGTTTCCTGTAAATAGAAAATTATGAGGGCCCTGTGTGCATTCAGCTGACTACATTGAAGGTAAGTGCTCAATCACACTGTATTACTTTTACTGTACTGTACTTCATTGTAGATATAATGTACTGTACTGTTTTTTTTTCCTATGTCCAACTTACGACCATTCCGACTTACAACCTGGATTTGGGTCCCTAACCCCGTCGTAAGTCGGGGAGTAGCTGTATATGAAATTATTATAGATACTAAAGAAAAGATAACTAGAGACTAAAAATCTCTCTTACACAGCTATAGAAAAAAGTAATGAGTAGAATGTAAAATAGAAACTTTTGCCAACAAACCCCCCCCCCCTATAAACCTAAATTGGAGAAAGCATAACAGTTTTATAGAAGAGTACAGGAATACCTTGGTATTCACTACTCCAATAATTGCAACCCTGCTTATTTGCAAATGAGAAACTATGATATCCTACAGTAAAATTTCAAATTGGGCAGGCTAGCCGCATCTTTCATATTCCAACATAAGGCCAGTTTCACCCCTACTCGGCCAACCTTGAGTTGTGTCGTTGTTACTTTTCAACTCATAATTTCGAGTAGATATATGTAATGTACTGTATTGTACTGTACTGTACTGTATTTTATTAAATTACTTTTGCTCTGGTGCATGCACACACAATTGTTCATAAGGAATGTGTAAACAATAGAAATAAAATAAATGATTATTATAAAGTCGAAAACATAAATATAAACATATATGTCCACGGTAGTTAGCATGCGACCTTGGGAGGGGAAGGAGGAAGTGGGATGGGATTGTGGGGTAGAGGAAGGAGGGTGGTGGGTGTGGGGGGGGTCTGAGGTAGTGATGGTCACTGAATTGGGGTGTAGGGGAAGGAGGTGGGAGGGAGGGAGGCTGGCAGGAGGGAGGGTTGGAGGCAGTGGATATCATACAGCTCGGCTCTGGCTGAAGCTAATCCATCTCTGCATCACATAAATTATGATGTAGGTGGTAGTAAAGGAGGTAAGTGATGAGGAAGTGATGCGTCTATCAGTTTCTTTGGTAACACTGCTCCAGCAGCACTGCCGGATGCTATTGAACAGCTGATACCTACACACAAAATTGAGTGTAGGTGAGCAACTTTGTACCCCTTCAACATTACAATACATAACAGCAAGGTGTGGATGATTAGAGAGATTGAGTGTTGCCAAGAGCTCCTTAACAGCTAATCTTTAACCTGCCACCATACAGCCACACACTTGTGCATCAGTTAATTATGTTGAGAGTGTGTGTGTGTGTGTGTGTGTGTGTGTGTGTGTGTGTGTGTGGCTTAGTGGTGGAGTGTGTGGGTGAGTGTTTACTTTTACTTTCTTTTATCCTCTTCACCACTGATCGTGGCTTAGTAATTGGAGTGTGTGGGTAGTGTTTACTTTTACTTTACTTTTATCCTCTTCACCACTGATTGGCTCGTTAGCCGCTTGGGCGATCGGTCACGTCTCTGTTACGCACTGTTGGCAAGTACTGGGCATGCATCGGCTCCTGAATGTGCCTGAACCTGCTCCAGTGTTGGTCAAGTCTGGTCTTGAAAGAGCTCACACTCGGTGCAGTCACAACACTTTCTGGTAGATTGTTCCAAGAGTTCACAAAACTCACTCCAAAAAAGTTTGCCCTCACAGTTTTCTGGACTTGCGGCTTCTTCAATCTTGAGCTGTGACCCCTTGTGGGGCGAGCATCCACCAGCTCCAAGTAAGGACACTCAACTGAGTAGTGCCCTCTGAGATGTTTATACACCTCAATTAGGTAGCCCCTTACCCGACTGTAGTATAAGCTAGGCAAGTTCAGGAACTCCAATCTCTCAGGGTAGCTGAGGTGCCGAAGTGCAGGCACCAGTCTGGTGGCCCTCCTTTGATCATTTTCAACCAACTGACAGTCCCTAGCATATCTCGGGGACCAGACGGGGTGACAGTACACCAGATGGGGAAGCACTTCACTCTTGAAGATTGTTACGAGGGATGGACGTCTAGATATCTGAACAACCTTCTTATAAGACCCAATAATTTATTTGCCTGATTTACCTTCTTCTCACAATGGCCCGAGAACTTCAGCTCATTGTCAACATACACACCTAGGTCCTTCTCACACACAGTCTCAAATAGTGCAGTTACTTCATCCCGTTGGGACATATGATACGCGTCCTTACCGTTGATACACCCTAGGTGCATCCTTTTACACTTCGTGATATTGAATGTCAGCAGCCATTTCTTTGGCCATTCTTGGAGCTCACAGAGATCCTTCCGCAGCTCTTCACAGTTCGCTTGGTTCTTGATTTCCCGAAATAACTTGGCGCCATCCGCAAACATTTGTATGGAGGAGTGTACAGTGTCAGGCATGTGATTTATGAAACAAACAAACAATAGCAGGTCCAATACACTACCCTGTGGTACCCCGCTTGTGACAGGTACAGATGATAATTTCGTGCCATAAACCACCACACACTGCTTGCGATCATGTAGAAAATCTTCTATCCACGCGAGGAAATTTCCCCAATTTTGTACCCTTCCAGTTTAATTTTCAGCCTTTCAAGAGGTACACTGCCGAAAGCTGTATGTAGTATATTTATTATCATTATTATAATAATGAAACGAGTTCTTTAAGAATAAGCCGCAACTAGAAATTGATTGGTAATTAGTAATCTAGGGCAGTCCAAGGGTACTGTAATGTTAAAGGTCAAAGAGATCTTGTTTCCTATTTTGCTTGTTATGTTCTAAAATTCTCCCGTGGTTGGCAAAACAATGGGAAATAAGAGGTTTGGGGAAGTAACCCCTGAGAGACAAGCCAGAAGGCCTATAATGTATAGATCAAGGTTTAAAATCACTGCAGGGTGTAAGCTATACTTAAAAACTGCTTTTTATACTGTGTGAAAATACAATACTAACAGTATGCTGTACAGGTATATATACAGTTGTACCCCACTTAACGCGGTCAATAGAACCCAGAGGGTCCCGTGTTAAGTGAAATCCGCGTTAAGTGAACAACAGAACATATGGGATTAATTCCAATAGAAACCGGCCCGACCCCCAAACTCCACTTTTTGAAGGCACATACCTATGTTGTAGTAAAAATAACATCTTAATTTTATGATGGTACATGCACACAAGTAATACTTAAGAGAAATAGAGAAATACAGTCGCCAAGTTAATGTCCATTCAAATAATGGACTCAACTCACTCCCCCTCTCACACTACACTCGCTGGCTCTTCCCTCTCTGAGAAATTTTTGGGGGAAAACCACTAAATTTTAATAAATAATACCTCAAACTAAAGTTAGGATAATACAATTGACATTGCTGGATTCCTTGTAAGACCAGGAATATTTTGAATATAAATGTCATATATTTTGCACAAAAGATAACATAGTTACCTAGAGAAAAATTTTTATCTAAAATTTGTATGTTTAATGCAAAATATATGATGTTTATATTCAAAATGATCACCAAATTATAAGAATTCCAGCAATGTAAATTATATTCTGACCGGGTAATTTGTATGAATTTTATGAGCTAAAACAAATATCTTCAGTTAATAAAAAAAAAAATAATCTTCACGACACTATCTGTCAATCAAAGTACCCCACCTTGCCTCCCCCCTCTTCCAACCGCGCGGTCAGTCCCAACCCTCCCCCCCACCCCCCACCAATCATCCCTTCAAGAGTTTTTAACATTTTGTATTAAATAATACCTCAGATTAAAGTTAGGATAATATAATTGACATTGCTGGATTCCTTGTAAGACCAGGAATATTTTGAATATAAATGTCATATATTTTGCACAAAAGATAACATAGTTACTCTGAGAAAAATTTTTATCTAAAATTTGTATGTCTAATGCAAAATATAGCCTATGATGTTTATATTCAAAATGATCATCAAATTATAAGAATTCCAGCAATGTAAATTATATTCAGACCGGGTAATTTGTATGAATTTTATGAGCTGAAACAAATATCTTCAGTTAATAAAAAAAAAAAAATATTCTTCAAGGGGTAACAGATGGTCGGTCGGTCCCTCCCTCCCCCCCACCCCCCACCAAACGTCCCAAGGAGATGTGTGGGGAAACCAGAATACTTAACTTTTTTGTAATAAATAATACCTCAAACTAAAGTTAGGATAATATAATTGACCAGGAATATTTTGAATATAAATGTCATATATTTTGCACAAAAGATAACATAGTTACTCTGAGAAAATTTTTTATCTAAAATTTGTATGTCTAATGCAAAATATATGATGTTTATATTCAAAATGATCACCAAATTATAAGAATTCCAGCAATGTAAATTATATTCTGGCCGGGTAATTTGTATGAATTTTATGAGCTAAAACAGGCAGTCAGGCAGGGTGGCGGGTGGGGCAAATCTAAAAATAGCGTCTCGCCGGACACTCACCGCGTATATGTGGAAAAAATCCGTGTTAAGTGAAAGTTCAGCTCTGGCGAGGCACCGCGTATATGATAAAACGCGTTAAGTGAAACCGCGTTAGGCGGGGTAATACTGTATATAAAAAAAAGTGAAATGGAAGTCCCTCCAAACACTGCTGCATGCACTTGATGCTCTCCCTAGCTACACAAAGGAATGTTTGAAGCCATGAATTTACTTAATTATTCAATAGACTAAAACAAAAGTCTTCCCCAGCCTCTTTGACATTACACTACCCTTGGACTAAGCTGGATTACTACTTACCATCAAATTCTAGCCTGTGAACCTATTTCATAAGTATGAATAAGGATAACCCAAAGATATGGATATAATAACCTGACAGAAGGTGTTAAAAAGAAAGAAAATACACCAAAAAATCAATGTATAGTATTCCAGAAGAGATTTACGGTAAATAAAGTATCCAATCAAGATATACAAATACTGCATATAAACTACAAATAAATACTGTACCTTGCCACTGTTGTCATGCCAGATCCTAAGGAACTGAATGTTACCGAGGCATTCGGGAACAGTCATAACAAATATATCAATGGCATTTCTCTTGAACAATAATCGCTCCGGGTCAGCAAAAGTCCTTACATCTGTTTCACTTCGTTCTCCCGTGAGAATGAACTGTACCTTGCTGGTGGTGCTTGCCTCCTCCTTGCCACCCGTGAACACCATAACTTCATAGAGGTACTGCATAAGATAAAGGCTTATTGAGGTTCTGTATGAAATAAATTTATATTAATTTTATAAACTATAAATATTTGTGGATGAAATGGGAATCAATGTAAGCTTTGGATTTTAATCACATTGTACTATACATTCAAGACATTATCTAAACACCTTGGGACTTGAAGGTTTCTGTATAATGAAATTCCCAAGCAACCAATTACTCCTTATGCACAATAGAGCTTTTTCTATAAACATCCAGCCAGCCCCAAGGAATTCCCCTTTCATCCCACCACTTCCTCTCGTAACATTCCCACTTAACAGCACATAGTCTCTCTATTTCTGACTTACTAAACACTAAGAAAGTGATATCCCCCATTAGCCAGAGCAATTGGTGCAGAGCACTTCCAGAGAGATTTCTGGCTAACCAGACGATTTTCTCAAACCCAGAGAAATTCCTTATCCCGGAATCCTTTCCGGTTACCGGAGAAGTTTCCAAGTGTCTAAAGTAGACATTTTGCACAGACGGACTTCCCCAGAACGTTTCTGAGTGCTGGGGATGTTTTACATGAGTCTAGGTAGCAGGTAATAGGTATTAGGCAGCTACCAAACAGGGAGGTACTACCGCCTGGGATGATATTGGAAGCATAATGTGTTGTCTATGGTAGACCCTGCTGCCACATGGCATTACGAAAATTGTGACCAAGTCCCAGGTTGCTGATCTGACTTTCTGCCTCATTTACACAACTGCAGGTCTCAATTGTTTCTCTTAATATTGACAACATAACATACATATATTGTTTCTCACTTTTGATTTTTTTTTCATTTTGTATTTCTTTATGGTTCTTTATTATTATTATTAATATTACATTTTCGCCCCATAGGCCCTCGATGTGGGTCAGTGACCTGTGCCTGGGTGAGCTAATCCCCGTAAAAAAAAAAAAAAAAAAAAAAAAAAAAAACTACCAAGTCCATAAATGCAGTTCTAATTAAGTTAGAAACTCCATTTCTTTACTATAATAATGCAGAATAGTTTATCAAAAAAGGCTGGTTAAATAAATATATTTAAAAATAAAAAATCTATGATATGGGTGTGAATGAAGCTGTGTGTTACAGCAAAAACATATTTTCCACTCCCATGGAGCTGTGGGGGATTAGTGGGTCTCTTGTACCTGACCTGACTGATGGAATGTCAGGTCACCCTTTCTTGGGTGGTGGATTAGTGGGTCTCATGACCTGAAGATGTCTTGAAGAAACATGAAACCTAAAGTATTTTTAAGGAGATTGTGATAAGAATAAATGGGCAAAGTTGTATCCCTTCAACATTACGTTACATAACATTTTAAAATATGTAGTGAGAAAGCAGAAAGGTGTGGATGATTAGAGAGATGGTAAGGAGTGTTGCCAAGTGCTCTTCAACAGCTGATATTTATCTCGCTACCATGCAGTCACACACTCAAATTTGTCACACAGTAAGACACTCACTCCTCATGCTTGCTGTCTTAATTTCCCTTGGGGTGTATAAATGTGTGTGTGTGTTTGTGTGTGTGTGTGTGTGTGTGTGTGTGTGTGTGTGTGTGTGTGTGTGTGTGTGTGTGTTGTGTGGTGTGTGTGGGTGGTTGTTGGAGGTGTGTGAGTGGTTGTTGGAGGATGTGTGTGTGTGTGTGTGTGTTGGAGGATGTGTGTGTGTGGTTGTGTGGGGGATGTGTGTGTGGAGTGGTTGTTGGAGGTGTGTGTGTGGTTGTTGGAGGATGTGTGTGTGTGGTTGTTGGAGGATGTGTGTGGGTGGTTGTTGGAGGTGTGTGTGGGTGGTTGTTGGATGATGTGTGTGTGGGTGGTTGTTGGAGATGTGTGTGTGTGGGTGGTTGTTGGAGGTTGGGTGTGTGTGGGTGGTTGTTGGAGGATGTGTGTGGATGGTTGTTGGATGAGTGTGTGTGTGGGTGGTTGTTGGAGGATGTGTGTGGTGGATATGTTGGGGTGTGTGTGTGGTTGTTGGAGGTGTGTGTGTGTGGTTGTTGGTGGGTGTGTGTGTGTGGTTGTTGGAGGTGTGTGTGTGGGTGATTTGTTGGAGGATGGGTGTGTGTGGGTGGTTGTTGGAGGATGTGTGTGTGTGGTTGTTGGAGATGTGTGTGGGGGGTTGTTGGAAGATGTGTGTGTGTGTGTGGGTGGTTGTTTGGAGATGTGAATGTGGTTGTTTGGAGGATGTGTGTGAGTGGTTGTTGGAGGATGTGTGTGTGTGTGTGGGTGGTTGTTGGAGGATGGGTGTGGGTGGTTGTTTGGATGTGTGTGGTGGTTTGTTTGGAGGTGTGTGTGTGTGGGTGTGTTGGAGGATGTGTGTGTGTGGTTTGTTGGAGGTGTGTGTGTGTGTGGGTGGTTGTTGGAGGATGTGTGTGTGGGTGGTTGTTGGAGGATGTGTGTGTGTGGCTGGTGTGTTGGGTGATGGTGTGTGTGTGGGTGGTTGTTGGAGGATGTGTGTGTGGGTGGTTGTTGGAGGATGTGTGTGTGAGTGGTTGTTGGAGGGTGTGTGTGGGTGGTTGTTGGATGATGTGTGTGGGTGGTTGTTGGATGAGTGTGTGGGTGGTTGGGTGGTGATGTGTGTGGGTGGTTGTTGGAGGTGTGTGTGTGTGGTTTGTTGGAGGATGTGTGTGGGTGGTTGTTTGGATGGTGTGTGTGTGGGTGGTTGTTTGGAGGTGTGTGAGTGGTTGTTGGGGATGTGTGTGTGTGTGGTTGTTGGAGGATGTGTGTGGGTGGATGTTGGAGTGTGTGTGGCTGAAGTTGGGAGGATGATGTGGGAAGTGGGATGTGGTGGTGTGAAGTTGTTGGATGGAGTGTGTGTGGTGGTTTGTTGGATGAGTGTGTGTGGTGGTTGTTGGAGGTGTGTGTGGCTGGTTGTTGGATGATGTGTGTGGGTGGTTGTTGGGTGTGTGTGGTGGTTGTTGGATGAGTGTGTGTGGGTGGTTGTTGGATGATGTGTGTGTGGGTGGTTGTTGGAGGTGTGTGTGAAGTTTGTTGGATGATGTGTGTGTGGTGGTTTGTTGGAGGATGTGGTGTGTGAGATTTGTTTGGAGGATGTGTGTGTGTGGTTGGGGTAGTGTGTGTGGGTGGTTGTTGGAGGGTGTGTGTGGGTGGTTGTTGGAGGATGTGTGTGTGTGTGGTGTGTGTGGGTGGTTGTTGGGGTGTGTGGGTGGTTGTTGGAGGATGTGTGTGTGTGGGTGGTTGTTGGAGGAGGTGTGTGAGTGGTTGTTGGAGGATGTGTGTGTGTGGTGTGGAGGTGCATGTGTGTGGGTGGTTTGTTGGAGGATGTGTGGGTGGTGTTGGGGATGTGTGTGTGTGGTTGGGGGATGGGTGTGTGTGGGTGGTTGTTGGAGGATGTGTGTGTGTGGGTGTTGGAGGGATGTGTGTGAGTGGTTGTTGGAGTGTGTGTGTGTGGGTGGTTGTTGGAGGATGTGTGAGTGGTTGTTGGAGTGTGTGTGGTGGTTGTTGGGGTGTGTGTGGGTGGTTGTTGGGATGTGTGTGAGTGGTTGTTGGAGGATGTGTGTGGTGTGGTGGTGTGGAGGATGGGTGTGTGTGAGTGGTTGTTGGAGATGTGTGTGTGGTTGTTGGATGATGTGTGTGTGTGGTTGTTGGAGATGTGTGTGAGATTTGTTGGAGTGTGTGTGTGTGGTTGTTGGAGGTGTGTGTGGGTGGTTGTTGGAGGTGTGTGTGTGTGGGTGGTTTGGAGGTGTGTGTGTGAGTGGTTGTTTGGAGGATGTGTGTGTGTGTGGGTGGTTTGTTGGAGGTGTGTGTGTGGGTGGTTGTTTGGAGGATGTGTGTGGGGGTTGTTGGAGTGTGTGTGTGTGTGTGGTTGTTTGGAGGTGTGTGTGGGTGATTTGTTGGTGTGTGTGGGTGGTTGTTGGAGGATGTGTGTGTGTGTGGTTGTTGAGTGGGTGTGTGTGGGTGGTTGTTGGAGGATGTGTGTGGTGGTTGTTGGAGTGTATGTGGTGGTTGTTGGGTGTGTGGTGGGTGGTTGTTGGAGGATGTGTGTGTGTGAGTGGTTGTTGGAGGAGGTGTGTGTGGGTGTGCTTTGGAGGATGTGTGTGTGTGTGGGTGGTTTGTTGGGAAGATGTGTGTGGTTGTTGGAGGATGGTGTGTGTGTGTGTGTTGAGGTGTGTGTGGGTGGTTGTTGGAGGATGTGTGTGGGTGGTTGTTGGAGGTGTGTGTGTGGGTGGTTGGATGTGTGTGTGGGTGGTTGTTTGGAGGAGGGTGTGTGTGGTTGTTGGAGGATGTGTGTGTGTGGGTGGTATGTTTGGAGGTTGGGTGTGGGTGGTTGTTGGAGTGTGTGTGGGTGGTTGTTGGAGGATGTGTGTGTGTGGTGGAGATGTGTGTAGGGGTTGTTGGAGATGTGTGTGGGTGGTTGGTGGGGTGTGTGTGGGTGGTTGTTGGAGGTGTGTGGGTGGTTGTTTGGAGGTGTGTGTGGCTGGATGAAGTGTGTGTGAGTGGTTGTTGGAGGATGTGTGGTCAGTTTGTTGGGTGTGTGTGGGTGGTTGTTGGAGAGTGTGTGTGTGGGTGGTTTTTGGAGGTGTGTGTGTTGGGTGGTTGTTGGAGGTGTGTGTGTGGTTGTTGGAGGGTGTGTGTGGGTGTTGTGGGGTGTGTGTGTGGGTGGTTGTTGAGGATGGTGTGTGTGGGTGGTTGTTGAAGGAGTGTGTGGTGGTTGTTGGAGATGTGGAGGTGAGTGTGTTGGAGGATGTGTGTGTGTGTGTGGTTGTTGGAGGATGTGTGTGTGGGTGTTGTGTGTGGGTGGTTTGATTTGGGGTGGAGTGTGTGTGGGTTGTTGGAGGATGTGTGGTGGGTTGTTTGGGTGTGTGTGGGTGGTTGTTGGAGATGTGTGTGTGTGGGTGGTTGTTGGAGTATGGGTGTGTGTGGGTGGTTGTTGGAGGATGTGTGTGGGTGGTTGTTGGAGGATGTGTGTGTGTGGGTGTTGGAGGTGTTGTGGGTGGTTGTTGGGTGTGTGTGTGTGTGGGTGTGGAGGATGGGTGTGTGTG